TTTGCATGTTGTGGAGGAGTATGTAATTGCTTGAATCGCACTCTTGGAGTCACTACAGATCGTGTACTGTATATCCCAACTGGTAATATTGTGATTGTTTGGAGAGCTTGGTTTAAGGCATATAATTCAGCTGTGAAAATATAGTTGGTTTGGTAACCACCATCCCTGCGTGATATGGCATTGCAGGGTCCATACAATGCTAGTAACCGAGGATGCATTGTTCAAGAGGATGCGAGGTCTATGTAAATCGCTGTTGTATCTGGGTAGCAATTTTTCTTCATCAAAGCAAAGACTGAGGCTAATGCTGAATTTGGTGCATACTTTGGAAAGGTGTCCTCCAGTTGCGTTGAAGTTTTAGGAGTTGTATAAAATCAAGGTGGAATGGGGGGACAATCAGTTGGGTTTCATGGTTTTGGAGTAAAGTGAGGTTATTTGTAACCCGCGTGAAGAAAGGCTGAGAGTGATTGGTGGGGAAATGGGGGTTACATGGCTAACTGTTGGCTTTTTTTTTTATAATCAGTATTGTTGTTAACGTTACATCTGTCGGAGGCTCTCGTCAACACCAGTGTTACCTTGGGACAACAACCTTGCATGTGACAGTTCTTTAGAAATTTATGCTATGATTAATATTCTTGACATAAATATAGGTGTTATATATTTAGGGTTTCTATACCATGCACTTAACCTAGATGTTAAGTGCATGTTATAAATTTAAGGGATTCTACCGGAAATAGGTGTGCTTTAATAACTTCTAACTTCAAGAGCGATGCATATTCATGTGATATATACTGTACCTGCAATGAAATATATCTTCAATTTAAGTGCATCAAAATAGATTCCAGTGAATGATATCCAATTACTCAATTGCACCATACCTGGTTGAGCATATTAGTGCGAACCCATAGATTTACATGCCTATACCCCTGTATGCATTATTTAGTGAATAAGACTGAAAAACATTGCCATTATTGTGATAGTGCCTACACGTGTCCATAAATTGCTTCTAGATTATAAGATACATTTTTGGGTTGTGATAATATATACATAATTATTATTGTTGGGATGTTCATTATCATGCACTAACTACCTTCTGGTGATTCTGGGGATCACTGTTCCTGTGGCCCAGCCTTGTAAAAGGCCTCCTGGTTGGTGGTCTATTCAACCAGGTTGTTGGATGTGGCTGCTTGCAGCCTGACATTTAAATCACAGCCTGGTTGATCAGGTCTTCTTTGGAGGTGTTTATTGAGTTCTCTCTTGAACACTATGAGAGGCCGGCAAGTTATGCCCCTTGTGTGCGGAGGGAGAGTGTTGAAAAGTCTTGGGCCTTTGTTATTGATAAAAGTTCTCACTCAGTGTACCCATTGCACCCCTGCAATTCAGTGGTGCAGTTTTACACATCCTGCTGTGCCTACTGGTTTCATGTGATGATATTTCCATGTGCAGATTTGGAACCAGTCCCTCATATTTTCCATGTGTAAATTATTATGTAACTCTCTCTTTAAATCGGTCCCAATAATTTAGATGTCTTACAGAGTGGATTCTGCAGCAAAGGATCTCTGCACATTCTCCAGGTCAGCAATTTCTCCAGCTTTTAATAGGGCTGTTAGTGTGCAACAATATTCCACCCTAGAGAGCACTAGTATCTTGAAAAGTATTGTTGGTACGGCATCCATTTTCTTAAAAGTTCTTGTTATCCAACCTGTCATTTTTTCTTGCAGTTGTGACAGCTACTTTATTGTATTCTTTAACAGTAAGGTCTTGCAAAATGATTACTCTTAGATCCTTTACATTGCTTTTTCATTCTATAGTGTGATTTGACTGTACAGTATTTTATATGTGGTTTCTGTTTTTATATTTTCACTTTTTCCATAGTGCTGGAGCTGAAACTCATTTTCATTAAACATCATAGTTTTATCTGTGGCCCATTGAAAGACCTGGTTAACATCAGATTGGCATTTGCTGCATCCTCTATATTGTTTACTTTTGTGACGATGTCGACACCATCTGTTGAGCGCACCTGACCCCATGTTCTGTTCCCCAATGGAAGGCTGTGATCTTACTGACACCTGTGCAGTTTCCTGCTTGCTATTCAATTTTTACTTCTCAGAAGTGATGTGGAGGATCAGGACTCTTGGTCGATAAGAGTCAGTTCACCCAGGGCAGTCCAGAACTCAAGACTTGTTCCAGTGGGAACAAGTGGGCCGAGTCAGTAGAGAATGTGAATTGTCTGTGATGGTTAGTGAAGTATTGGTGATTGGACCAACGTATCCTGGAATGGCCCAGTTGAGTTACTAGATGGAATTTAATGTCCGCCTGTCCTCTTAAGTTGAGGCTTGTTATAGGTGAAGCCTTTAGAGTTAGCCAGCCAGCATGTTGCTGGAGATTCAAAGTGGTGTTTTGGCACTGTAACGATACTGTGGAGGACTGGATTTACTGAGAAAGGTGGACTCACTGGCATGAGTACCGTAGAAGAAAGGCTCAGGGAAGGAACCATTAGTGTTGTACGATAGAAGATAGAAGTGGACTCGCTGGGATTGAAGATTGCAATGTTCTTTTGTAGTGTCCTGTGTGAAAGTGACACCTGCAGTGTTGTGTGCTGTACATATGTAATATATGTATATACAGTAGTTAAGAAGTTCACGTGGTGATGGGTTTGTTTAGTGTTGTTTATCCCTCATTCCCGTTGGATTGACTATTACTGCTAGTTCTTAACTTGCCTATGACTTGAGGTTGGATCTGGTAAGAAGAGGCACTAAGGCCCCATAGAAAGGTTGAATGGATTGAACCTGGTTACTGGCTAAGTGAGGGCCGTAACAACTTGCATGAAAATCCTAGTTTCATCCTGCAAATGATTATGCAATATTATAGTTTTTATCTTT